AACAGCGCGTTGACCTGCGCAGGGGTCAACGACGGGGTCAATGTCGGGGTGGGCGGCACGTCAGACGAGGCGGCCGCGCGCCCCCTTTTGCGCTGGCGAGAAGGACCCGCCACTTGCGGGGCTGGCGCGTGCTGCTGCTCGGCGTCAGGCACGAGTGGCTGGCTCTGCTCAGCCACTTGCACGTGTGGCTCGGAAGGGAACGGGGGCGCGTCAGCAGGCTGATTGTTGACCTCGCCCTTTCCCAGCAGAACGTCAACCCCAGTTGGGGCAGCCACCCCTTCTTCTGCCCGACGCTTGTTGCGCCGATCGCCCGCAATTTCCGGGGCTTGGCGAGTAGACTCGGAATTGGGGTGGCTGGTGACGACGTTGGACTTGCCGCGATTATTTGTAGTCGGAGCCATGAAGGATCGGTGAAACTTAAAACTATCGGAAAGAAGTGTTGAGGGAGACTCGCCACGAGGCAAAGTTCTAGTCTTAGCCAGCTTGAACGGGAGAAAAGCTAGAGCGGGAAAATTGACTGAGCCGTATGAAAAATGAGAGACGTGGGTGGAGGTAAATGAGCTCCAACCCACGTATATGTAGTTGGAGAAGGGCGAGTAGCGTGCTTCGACGATGCCCAACGCTTCAGTACAATCAGCTTCGCTTTCACAATACACAATTTTTGAAAAACATTGCGTGTGTTAAAAATTATAATCTTCAAAGTTGTATGATTTTGGATCCTGAAGTTTTCAGACTAGTCGTTGTGCGGTGCGGATACTGAGTTTTCAGAGTACTACATCGCGTATGGACTCTGAATGCGACATACATGCACGTTTTACTTTCCACGATATTTCCTCTAATACGTCATATGATGCCTGCCATCATTTCACCCCCGCACGTCTCACGTGAAGTATCTGCACTTGGCAGGATTCCCGCCCCTTGTGTGATTGTGATGCTGCCCTCAATAGGGACTTAGCCACTCAGCGCGTCATGCATCCTGCCACGCGTGCCTGCTAAGGACCTCAACATGGGTGTGTTGGAAGCCAGCAAAGGCTGGTAACGCGGGAAACTTGCCCTCGCTGGCATGTGCAAAATTGTCTGATCGACAGTGATTGGCCACAGTCTATGCCAACACATGGTTCGCAATGTCAGCTCATGTTTGGCATGGTGGCACGGGTTTGGAAGGGGTTGCCGTCCAAAAGCTGACGAGGGTTAACCAAGAAACACGCGCCTCGGGCTTGATGGGTCCCTTCTTCTTCGTCCCTCTCATCCCTCCCCCTCCTCTCTGGCGCACTCAGGCATTTAGACGGGGTTGGTAAATATTCCTCCTTAATCCATGTTTTGGAGTCCTCGTCTTTACGTAGGTTCTCGTTTTTCGACCCCGTCACCAGCCATGACGGGGTCTCTTGCAGAAGACGGATCAGCCCAGCGCCGATGAACCACCTCGAAGTAACGAGCCTGTAGAGGTTCCTCGCTTCGCGTTAGACATTTTGTGCTCGTTAGGTTCTCCTCCCATCGTAGCTGTTTTGGTTCCCTCCGAAGCGGACGAAACCCAGCCTGCCCTAAACCCACCTCCGTCCGCGCCCCTCGCGCCACCACCATATGTCCCTTCGCTAGCCGTCGCCTCATCCAGCAGAGGCCCGACTCTGCCCGTTAACTGCGCCACCACCACCACAGTCGCTACAGCGTGCCCTGCGTATCCACGATTTCTTGTGCGAAGAACCAACGGACGGGCAAGTACACCCAGTCCCAAATCATGATTGGAGGTAGGCTTCGCGGCCCGTCCTCGCCGCCATCACCTAGTGCAATTCCTGTCATCGATGAACCGCCACCGCCAAAGCTGAGTAAGAAGGAATTGATTGAGCAGAAATACCTTGTCGCTGAAGCAAAGTACAAAACTTCTTGTCTGCCTTTCTTTCCTTGGCTTCTGCTAACCAAAACAAAAGACGGATACCCAACTCTCAAGTGTAGTGTCCGCATGACGTATGACAAGGAGACCACCAAGTACAGCTCATCGGGCGACGGTGGCCGAGACCTGCAGACACAGACCATGCGCATACATGAACACTCCTCTGCACACAAGGAAGTTGTGGAGGCCCACCTGAAGATTGCCGACAACATCGCCGATGGGCAGAAGAAGATCGACAACTTCTTGTCGTTGGATGTCGAGGGGAGGCGGGTCGTGCAACTGCTCCGCGCCGTTGCGTTCCTCTGTAAGGTCGATGCTCCCATCAGCATGTTTCCTCGGCTATGTCGCTTTATGGCTGAGCAGGACACCCTGGGCATACCACTCCATTCTTACGGCGTTTACCTCACTCGATAAGAACACGCGAGCACAGTCCATTACTCCACCCCATTGGATCTTTTTAACATCTAATCCTATTCTGCGTACAGGTACGGCTTTCAACAGATGGTGCACTACTTGGCGAATCTTCTTCAACAGACCCAGATGCAGCAGATTCAGTCATCCTCGTTCGTTGGCATCAGTTGCGACAAGAGCACTGATCGTACCAGAGGGAAGCACCTGATAGTGTACCTCACGTTCCTGCGCCAACGCCGCGTCGTCACCGAATTCTTCTCGTTGCTGACCGTCAAGAAGTGCGATGCTGCCTCCCTGCTCTTCGTGCTCCTCACTCATCTTCAAGGCGCCGGCATCGAACTCAACCGCATCGCGGGAATCAGCAACGATGGCACTTCCGTCATAGTGGGGCACGAGAAAGGTCTCGTGGCATGGCTCCGCAAGCACATCCCTCACCTTGTGTCGTCCCACTGCATCGCCCACCAGTATAGAGTCTGTTGGTGCAACCCTATGGCTTGCACTCAGCTTGTCGTCCTTGTTTGTGTGTGTGCATGCATGGCATAGAATGACTTGTGAGTCTATATCATTGCTATCTAGTGCTTGTGTGTGTGTTTGAATGGTGTATCACAATGTGGTTTGTGTCGGTCAAGACATTAGTGAGTTTTCACAACTCGCATGTCAAGTCGTCGTTTGCGCGTCGCATGTGCTTTCTCTATTTTGTCGAGTGTGAAGTGTCCATCTCATCGCATGTGTGTGCAGCAAGCCCTCATCATCTCAAGAAGAATTGATCTTGCTGAACCAAGACCAAGAGCTCAAGATTTCAAGCCCAAGGGACGTGGACAAATATTAAAATAGTGAAAATAGTAATGCTACTTCAAGTAGTGTTACATTTCACTTGGTGTAGTCCCTTGTTGGGTTTGTTTCGAGTCTCCTCATGGTTGGGGACTTTGTGGTGGTGTACCACCAACTTGGACCTCGGCTCTTGGGGTATGTAGAGGCTGGGAACCATCCCTACCTCGAATTCTTCTTCCTTAGTTTTTTGTACTCCTAAGACTATAGTGGCTGCTGTACCTCCTGCTAGTCAAACCGCCATAGCGTCGTCAAATCTTCATGGGATTTTATGATTCAACTTGCTGCTGATAGGCGACAGCAAAGCGCTCCAAATCCAATTTATAAATTTTCGTTTAAAGCACACATCAGATCGGCATCAATATTTGAAGCTGTCTAACTGAATTCTGACTGTGCACAATTTCTCATTTTAGGCACATCTGAGCCTATTGTGGTAACAACAGAGTCATTATGCAATGTTCTCGCATCTTTGTTTTTTAATGTTTACTAATTTGTTTCTATGGACTGTGCGCAGGGAAGCTCAGGTTGTGAAGGACGCCGTGTTTGCCTATCCAGACTTGGACATGGTCGACAAGGTTATCCGAACTCTGGCCGATCTCCTCGGCCGTTCAAGCATGTGGAGCCAACGATTCAAGTACGTGCAGCGTGTCATCCACAAGACAAACCTTGAAGTTCAAGGAATCCACGCGATTTGGTGGCTGTCCAGGGGTGAGGCAGTGAGACGCATCTGTAAGGTCCTCGGTGCTGCCATCATTTTACTGTTTGAGTATAAGCATGAGCTGTATGAGGTTGTCATCTCGTACAAGTTTCAGTTTTGTCTCTTCTTCCTGGCGGACGTCCTCACCATCATGAACGAGCTCAACCTCAAGTTTCAGAAGCGAGAGGTGAGCCCTTGCATGTATGCTAGTGCTATGTTCTTTCACAATCAGCACTAACATTCTATGCCTTGACTTGCGCCCCCATGTTCTCGCTACTTGGAGTGCGGCGAAGTTTTCGGTGCGGGCATAAGCGGCATATGGCTGTCGGCTTTCTTAACTGTGTACGGGCGCAGGGGGGCGAAGAGAGTGAAGGTGCGCGGCGTCGACAAGGACGGGCAGCCAGTGACACACACATACCAGATGCATGGGCGGCAGATCAAGGGGCATGTCTACCAGAGCAACTACCAGAAATGTGAGCTGTTGTGCGTGAAGTTCACGAGGGGGAGCATGACAAGCCTGCTGGAGCGGCTGGACGACCTGCCAAAGCTCAGGCCCATAAAGCTGTTTCAGGTGGGCAAGTGGCCGCGGCTTCAGACGCTAAGGGAGAAGAAGACGAGGGAGTATCTCCATGGCTGCAGTGCTATCTTCTACGACAGGCTCCCCGGGTTCGATTTGAAGGCGGCGGAGAAGGAGCTGGCAACTTGGGCCCCGATCATGCATAACCACCACAACGAGGAGGGCTTCTACCAGGGCCTCACGAACTACCTTGGCAACACAGAGTCAAGCAGGTAAGTCAAGCCTCCAGTGCACGCTGCTCTGCCTGCCTGTGTATGTTTGTTTTTATCAGTTTTGTCCACCATGCCTCCAGTCTGTTTCTAATTCTATTGTTCCTTGCCCACCATGCCTCTAGTTTGTTTTTATGTTCCATGCCTCTTGTGTGTGGTTGTTTCATAAACAGGCGCTGGCCCAACCTCATGCTTCTCTGGCACGCATGCGCGATGTTACCACTCTCAACTGTGGAGTGCGAGCGTGGTTTTTCTAGGCATAATGTGATCAAGTCTTGGGTCCGCGGTGCACTCTGCAATGCCCGCCTGGGTGAGTTGATGATGATTTCGCTGCTGCAATACGAGATAGACTGGCAAGAAGCGCTTGAGCTGCGGCACGCAAAGATGAGAAGACCAGCAAAGTTGGTGGTGTTCGCATCACAAGAGAGGAAGCGCAAGGGCAAGCCTCTGCAAGAAGAGGCTGAGCACGAACCTCCGGTGCACGACTACATAGGAGAGGATTGGGATGAGGAGGAGGAGGAGGAGGAGGAGGAGGAGGAGGAGGAGGAGGAGGAGGAGGAGGAGGAGGAGGAGGAGGAGGAGGAGGAGGAGGAGGAGGAGGAGGAGGAGGAGGAGGAGGAGGAGGAGGAGGAGGAGGAGGAGGAGGGGGAGAGGGATGGTAGAGCAGCTATAGAAGACAACCCCTTCCTCTCGGATGATGAGGCGGAGGATGTAGTCTTTGTGGATGTGTTAGAGTTCTAGATAGGCTAGGAACTTGGAGTAGGTGCTGGTTAATGGCCAAAATAAATGGTGATGTGCGTTAGGCTCTGATTGATGCCTGCGTACCCTGAGAATATCGGACTTGAGTCTCATTGGATCCTGCAAAATCAGACTACCTGAAATCTGAAACCTGGCTACTCAGACTTGGAGAAGTTTTTCGGGGCCAAAATCAGAGTGCGTTTTTTTGAAACGTCAGCCCTAGATACAGGGTGGTTTTGTGTTGTGGGGTTGCACTCACTATGAGCATGCACCTATCTAGCCTATAACAATAACAATATATTGACACACCCCCTAGGCTAGACAAGGGGCAGCGCCTGGCATGAGACACGCAGCTGAGGGTGGCACTACTAGTCCAACCACTTACTAGGCAAGAATCTGAAGACCAGTCAGCAAGCATACAAACAAGACAAGAGCAACCTAGGGCAACACTACTAGTCTAGCCACTAGAACAAGAACCACAAGGCCAGCCAGGATAATATAAAGAGTAGTACAAAATCGGGGTCCTCGCTAGTGAGGAGCTACTGGAACTAGACCAAGCTGGACACAGTGCCGCTGATGATCTTTAGGCGCAAGCACCTTACTAAAGATATCAGTTGTGTTGGCACCAGAGGCCAAGTGTACTACACGGGCCTGGCGGAGCTGCTGTAGCTCGCGCAGGAGGAAGTACTGCAGCTGGATGTGCTTCACTCTGCCCTCGGAGCTCCTATGCCGGCGGAGCTCCTGTGCCGCCATGGTACGAGGGTAGATCTCAGCCTCACAGCTAGACTGTGCAACAGACGACAAGCGGGTGGACCTCCACAAGATGGCGCCTGTACCAAGGCTAAAGCAATAGCCCTGAGAGGACCTGAGCGTCTTAGCATCGTCCGCCCACGAAGCGTCTGTGTATCATCTAAGGACCACTTGCCTGCGTCCTCCTAGCACTAGCCCCATGCTCAATATACTTGCTAGAAAACGCAAAACCCACTTAGCGGCCGACTAGTACTCTGGTTGGTGTCTACCTGTCGCCACAAAGCGAGCCTAGATGTTGAGAGGGTATGCGAGATCTGGATGAGTGCAAGTCATCAGGTACATGAGGAAACCCACCAGCTCTCTGACGGACCACTAGGTTCTACCAACTCCTCAGGGACTAGAGCCAAGAGCCTATAATCTACTGGCAGATGTGTGGGCAATGCACAAATGTACAGGGTCTGGCCAGCAGAAACGAATAGAGAAGGGTCTGTAGACGACGGGAAGAACTACAGGTCAGCTAACGTAGTACGCAGCGTGTCGTGCCACTCACGGGGCACTTGCCGCAGGCTGTAAACCGGGCACCGGAGAAGCCCCTGGGTCTCAGGAAGGTAAGTGCTAGAGAAGCCTGGCGGTCGGCGTAGGTAGACCTGCTCGTGCAGACTGCCTTGGAGAAACGCTATAGAGAAGTCGAGGGAGTGCAGCTCGTAGTCACGCTGTGCTACTACGTGTAGCAGCGCCCGAAGAGTAGTCATCTTCGGGGTCGGGGCGAAGATCTGAAAGAAGTCAACACCCTCTCGCTGACATAAGCCTCTAGTGACATAGCACTCCTTGAGCACCGGCGGATCTCCAGGAGGGTGCTTCACCTTGAAGAGCCACCGGCCATCGACTACGTTCACCCCAGGTGGGGGAACTACGTTGACGTAGTGCCGGTGGATCTCCAAGATGCCATCTCCGTGTCCATGGCAGCTATCCACTGAGAGGCACAGGTTCCCGAGGTCGCCTCAACGTAGGTGCGAGAGTTCGGGATGTCAAAGAGCATCTGGATCACCCTCAGGGACTAGCAGCATGGAGCAGAGATGAGGAGCGGCCTCGGACAGGAAAACTAGCTCGTACTGCCAGTTCTCCAAGACGTTACTGCCAAGAGTAGGTGCGCCCACGACGGAAGGAGGATGGGCAGTGTCAGAGACCAGAGCTGTGGTGTTGTCAATGCGGCGGGTAGAGGCAAAGTCAGCGACTGCAGCGACAAGATCGTCAAGACTGGAGACAGGAACTGACGGGTCAGGAACAAGAGAGACGAGAGCGCGAGGAACAAGCTGACTAGCGGTATGGAGGAAGTCAGAGAGAGGAGGCAGCGAGACAGCAAGCGACGTCTAAGGAGGCGACGATAGAGGAGGAGCACGAGACGAGTGGGAGCGGAGCAATATAGGGTGAGAGTGTTTGACAGGAGAAATAGGACGAGCACAAGGGGCACGGTGAAACCACCAGTGGGAGGGGGGGGTCGGGTCAGGAGACAAGGGAGGAGACACAGGAGGAGAATGAGGGGGGAAACGAGTCAGGGACGAGTCCAACGGAGGAAACAAAGGGTTGTAGACACGCGGGGGAGGCGGCTGCGGGGGAGGTGCAGGCGTGCGGTCGGGGGAGACCAGACACAGGAGGCAAAGGGCGGACACCGGCGGCGACTACAGATGCTGCTCCACGTCGACGCCAGAACCTACAGCCGCACCATGGCTGCCTCCGGGACGCTCCACAAAAGCACCCCCAGAACGAGAACCCTCTCCAGCACCGATGCCATCCACAGGACCGTCGGGGAAAGCCACGATAGTACCCCCAGGACAAGCACTCTCCTCAATGCCCGCACCCCCAGAGCTCGCAGACCCCTGCGGTGGCTGCGACTTCGGTAGCAGCTGTGACGGTGGATGCTGCTGCGGCAGCGGCGACGACGGCGATGGAGGAGACACAGGGGCAAAGACAAGCGGCGAAGCCTGAGCCGCAGGGCCCCTAGAGTCAGCCGGATCCTCCACCAGGACAGCCAATGGGAGGGGAGTGACGTGAGACATACCAGACGGGGAAGGACGAGGAGGGAGAGGAGCAGGGGCTACCGGGGGAGTGGGGACCAGAAACAGGGGCGAGGTAACCGGGAGAATTCAGTGGGGAAAGCGGGTATAGAAGGAGACATACTCGTCAAAAGTGACATCACGAGAGTGAAAGAAGCAGGAGACGGCTGGTGGTAAAGTGCCAGTTAGACACGTCTAGAGGGAAACCAAGGAAGACACGCGGGCAGTGAGCTTGTCCATGCCAGAGGCACGAACGTGTGCGAGGCAGTCCCAGATATGAAATGCAGACGCATCACCGGGGGACCCGATCCAGAGGAGGGTCAGCGAAACCTACGGCCTCAGGGAGTGTGGCCACAGGTTAAGCTGGTGAGCGGCAATCGATTAGCGAACGGCCACAGGAAATGGGGTGCACCGGCATAGATCATGGAGGTATGGGCCACCTCCATAACCAAACCGATGCATCGCTTAGCGACCCCATTCTGTTGCAGGGAGTCCGGCAGGGTGTACGACTGGGTGATGCTCTCCGCATGACAGAACTGGCCAACCGGAGGCGAACTCACCACCACGGTCAGAGTGAAGACACAGCACAGAGAGGTCGCAGTGGATGCGCACAGCTACGACCCACGGGATCACAACGTTAGGCACATCGACCTTCCGCTCCAAGGGAAACACCATGTTGTAGCGCGTGTAGTCGTCGACAAGCACTAGAAAGTAGCGCTCTCGACGCGGCCCAGGGACGGGGGCTGGGCCCGAAACGTCCAAGTGCATGGTCTGGAGTGACGTAATGGTAGTGGGAAATGAGGAGGAGTGAGGAGAACGGGGAAGCCGGCTCTCGACGCAAGGCGTGCACGGAGGCGCGGGTGAGGGAGGGAGGGCAGGGAGCGACATAGGGAAACCTAAGACAAGACCGTGTTGGGACATGTAACACAGATGCGGGAGAGCAGGGTGACCTAGGTGGTGGTGCCACAGAAGCAACGGGTGAGTGAGCGACCAACACGAGCAGGCCGCGGCAACCTGGGTAGACGCAGCCACCTGGGGGAATGCCACCACCGGGGGGTACGCGGTGTCGAGCGTGAACAGGCCAAACACCGGGTTCTGAGGGAACATGGTGAGGGGGGCACCAATGGCGGCCTCGGTACAGACTGCGTACCGCTCATGGCCAGGGAATGTAGTAGTGACGCCGAGGTCCTGAAGACATCCAACACCAACTAGGTTCCTGGAGAACGAGGGGATGTGCAAGCCTGTACGGGAGCCCGAGAGAACCGCCGGACAGGGAAGGGTGGTGGCGCTAAGTGCAACTACTGGATCTAGAAAAGGGGTCAGCAAGCGCTACTACGGTAGGGGCGGCAAGTGGTGTGAGCGTAGTGCGGTCGCGAAAGAAGCAGGCAGACGCATTAGAGTTTAGCGTAATGGAGAGCGAGGCGGTAGCGGCAGCTGGCGGGGGCACTAGCGTGGAGCCTAGGCTAAAAAAAGCAGGAGATCCTATGCTTGACGCAGTAGGGGAGCCTAGACTATGGACAGTGGACACATCTACACTAGGCAACACAAGGTAATAGGGTCCAGTGGCACTACAACCATCAGCAAACATGGCATACAAAGCAGACCTAATCTGATCCATGTTCATCTCAAACATCAGCACACGGCGACGTACCAGGCTGTGCCGATCCGGGAGGTCCGGCGCAAGGCCGAACCGGAGACGGAAGAGGTCGTCGAGGCGGTGGTAACAGCGAGCTCCGGTGTGACCGGGACGGTCGCACACGGTACCACAACGGGGGCCGGTCTGGAGCTGGTTCTGGCAGGTCACCGCGTTGAAAGCGCCACTCTTCACCGAGTTGCGCGTCCCGCCACCGCGACCGCCACCACCAAGGATGCCAGATCACTACGGTGGTGGACGTCCCCACGTCTGCTGTAGCTGCTGCTGCGACTGCTGCTGCTGCTGCTGCTGTTTCGGCGTCTACTGGTGCTGCTGCTGCTCGTGCTGCTGCTCCTGCTGTTGTATCGGGGCATCAGCCCCGGTCCCCTCGTCGGCACCTCCGGCACTCGCACCACCTCTGCCACCGCCGCCACCCTTGCCACCCCTGCCACCCCTCCCTCCGCCACGCCCCCCCTTGAGGCAGCGGTCCTTACCCAGACGAGACTGTGCAGAGGCCGCCGCGGCGGCCTCAGCAGCAGGGGCTGTCTCGGCGACAGCGGCAGACACATCAGAGTAAGAGCACTGGAAGG